AAGTGTGAAAACATTATGCGAAAAGATATGCCACAGATCGGCCAAGATAATTGACAGAGGGAGGTATAGTTATGCGAACAGTGCGGAGGTTGATTCATAATTATTTAGATAATTAATCTGCAAAACCATTTTTTTTTTCTTTATACGTGTTGAATAACTAATGTTTACTATCCTAACTCATCTCGGTTTAATCTCATTCATCTTTTCATTTTCGCGAAGGTCTTGCCAATGTCTAGGTCCTTTTTCTTTACAGAAAAACTAGCTTGAATTTATTGATATTAGTTGTTATGCAACGTTCATGGACATTTTATGTAAATAATTAAGCTATAACTACAAGTACAAGTCTTAATAAAGTTCCAAAGTGCTGATGAAAGTCTTAAAAAGTCTCAAATAAAAATTCGGTGAAAGTCTCAAAATATCCACCAAAGGCATCTAATTTAAAATGTCCTAAAAAGTATTTAAGAATCTCAATCCCTCCCTATATATTAATTCAAAACGTGTTGAGCCTAGGTGGCAGATTCTCACGCTTCGGATGCTGATATGGCGAAAATCTATGCTTCGTGATGTTGTTTTTATATTATTTTTGCTTTGTAGTTAGGTTTGGTATTATACATAAATAACATTACACATATATTCATCAACTCAATACCCATGTTGTACATGGGTATTAGTACTAGTTATATTTAATTTAGACTTTTTAAGACTTTTAAAAGTCTTGAGGTACTCATTTGAAATTTAAAAAGTCCTAAAAATCTTGAGGTATTAAACTTATTTGAGACTCTGATTTTGTTAAGACATTTTAAGATCTATTGGGATTTCGAAAGAAAAATCTTAAGGTTTTGCAGGATTCCTCCTAAATCCTAAAAAGCCTCAAGCTCAAAAAGTCTCAAATGTCATTCAAAATCTCAAACGAATCTTATATCAGGATTTCATATATGGTTTTTGTTTATGACAAATCTTAAAAGTCTTAATAAATTTCAGTGCCAAATAAGTTAAGTACCTCATGATTTGTTACATGACTTTTTGAAACTGCAAATGAATACCTCAAAGTATTTGCAAATTAATAAGAACCCATTATACCATTTAACTAGATACTCCTAACAATCAAAACAAAGCCCACAAAACCATCATGGATATTGCACTAGTTCACCCAAGGAAAAAAAAATGTTAATTGTGAAATACTTTCAATAATATTTCATCTCATTTGTTGTTATAAGACACAACTATAAATTAGAGTTGAAGTGTAAAAAATAAAAACATCCATTACTAAGTAGCAAATATGTGTAATTCGTGTCTCTTCGCTTTGGTATGTTGTTTGCTTCTTCAACTAAGTAATATTAATGTTAATGCTTCAATAAATTACAGAGATGCCCTTGCAAAATCTTTGTTGTTCTATGAGGCACAGAGATCAGGAAAGTTGCCCCATAGCCAAAGGATCAGATGGAGAGCCGATTCGGCCCTAAACGATGGACAGAATGTGTAACACCCCTCTTTACTGTAAAATCAGAGTGCGCTAAAATTCGCAAAGTTATTTAAAAATAAAGCCTTTTTCTTTGCGAAAACTGATTCGGGGTGCTACCTTTAGAAATCGTGACTTAACTTAGAAAACCGTTGTTTTAGTTTAATAAAAACGTTCGGTTACTGAAAACTTAATTTTCTTAAAAGCTCGTCAAAGTGATGAGTTCATCAAACGAGTACGTCAAAAGACATCAAAAACATCATCACAAGTCATCAAAATATCATAAGCGGAAGCGTAAGTCATAATCATAATTATACAGTCCAAAATATATAAATATC